TACACTTTATCTAAAGAATCACTAAATCTAAAGAATCACTAAGTATGTCAAAGTGACGTACCATAGTTCAAGCCATAAAATGACAAATCAAATATATTGAAGGAACATTTAGGAGAAGAATTTCAATTTTAACATCCTAGAAAGCTTTATGTGTGAAAGTTCAATGGATAATACTACTTACTACAGCAACAAGAAATGCTGCTTTAAGATTGGCACACGCTTCACAGCAAGCTCTACTTTTCATGAAAGGAAACCATCTGTGTCAAGATAATTGTAGGAATAAATTAATATCTAATGCAATAAACAATGAAACAAATAACTGTGTCTGTCCGTTATTGTATGTTTCATCACAATAAAAACACGTGAAAATTTTTCACCTGTGCCAACTCCCACTAGCACCAGCTGAAAATCCCAAGATGTTTCCAACAGCCATCCCTAAGCAAAAGATAGCGTTTGCAGAATTGTGTTGATCAGGACCTAAAACATAGCCATCCAACATCTTGTCATGCACAGGATCGAAACGTGTGGTATTATAGGACCTCGTAAATGAGAGGCACTATACCTAAGCATCACAATGTAATGCATAGACTAGAAATATTTCTATTTTTTTAAGAAAGAAGGGAGTTCACCTGATAGATCAGCCAAAAGGGCACGAGCTGGTCCCTAAAAAGGTAAAAATTTTTACTATTAGCTCACAATCATACACAATGGAAAACTGGTAACAAAGAAATAATTACCATGGAAGACATACCTGCACCGTATTGTTAGCAAGATCCAATATCCAGAACCCAATAACAAAGACAAAGGCTGCTCTTGGTCGTGTACCTTTAAATGTACTGCATTGCGTATATTAGGTGAATCTCTTTTGTTTGGTGTGTGCGTGGAAGGGGTACAAGAGAAGAGAAGGAACCAAAAGCAGAAAAGGAAACCTGCAATGCTCCTTTGTATCGCCTAATATGTATCCAATGTCTGCAGAAAACCCGATTATTATCACCTAAATAACAAAACTAGTTTAGCAGAAATAAAACATAGAAAACATAGTATATAAGAAAGAATTATTTAACAGGTAACAAATTTCTTCGAAGCTTACAGCAACAGAGATCATGAGCGATCCAGCAAGGATAAAAGGCCGTCTCCTTCCATATTTCGAAGTGCATCTATCACTCCAAATACCAACACAAGGTTGAACCTAAGATCAAAATGCAAGCAATTCAATAAATCACAAATACGGATAGGCATTATTTCTCTGATTTATTTCAACTATAGTCATTTACATCTGTTAAGCGCCACCACATCCATAGCCAAGAGGCATTCAATTACAAAGGTAGCCTGCCTCCTAATTTGTGCACACGCACACGGAGAGAGAAAGAGAGAGAGAACAGATCCACTGCCTACAGTGGGATAAAAGGACCACAAGATCCCTAGGGTATGAAGGGAGAAAATGAAATTTTGAATAAAGAAAGATTTACTATTATGCAATCATACATTCCAGGTAACCCCCATCCTCCCCCTTCATGCCTAGGATACATCAAAGCCACCCCAAACCCTTTTGTGAATAATAACTAAATTCAGTTCAAAATGCAGCACAATCTGTTATATCTGATTTATCAAGTCACCACGTTAAAAATCAAGGTACAACCATAAGGATTCCATAAAAATGAAATGGACAATAATATAAAATTATGTAACATGGTTCCCATCACCTACCACAAGACCTGTTATTGGACCGCAGAGCCAAATAAATGAAGAAAAAGCATGCTCTATTCCAATTGTCTGCATGAATCAGCCAAATATACGCAGTCAAAAAAAAGGGAAAGCATCATAAGCTCAAGAGAAGCTCAGAGCAGTAGAAAAGAAACCATGGCTGAGGCTAATAAAATAAATAAATGAAGCGATATTCTTGCATGAGCATGATTTTGACAAAAGATTTTGAGAATTATATTATGATCCAAAAATGTGCTTCAAAAAATGGCCATCATATTCTTCTCTCTCTCTCTCTCACGCATGCCAATAATCAACATGCAAAAAAATCAGCTATCTAGTTGATAGTAAATATTACCCTCCCTATTTCTAAAACTTAATTTATCATTTTTCTTTTTTCAACTTCTGAAAGGGCCATCTTGTTTGATATTGGTAAAGATGCTAAGTATTTCTACAAATTATTAGAAGAATTTTTAGAAAAGGATAACAAAGAATAACTTGTCTCTCAACACCATGATCTCTCTTTTCCAACTAGCAAATACACTCAAAATTCTTTCTAAAATCCATGAGATAAACTAAATTAATGATTAAACAACAATGGAAAAGTGTTGAGGTGCCTAATTTCTAACTAATTAAGGAATGCCAACAAAAGTACACTGTGCTAATCTTTTTTTTTTTCTATTTCTTAAAAATAATTTTAAAAAAGCACAAAAAATGAGCCAAAAAAGTCATCCAATAATAAAACTAATCGTAATTCAAAAACATTGCATCGAATTCAAATTTCACAAAATTCATAGTCAAAAATATAATTTTTCTGTTAAATTTTATTTAAACTAACATATAATACAAGTATGGAAAAAAAAAAGCATTGGAAAGACCTGAATGTATGGAGTCGAGCGATAGTTGCAAAGCCCAACCAAATTGAACCCCAGCGGCGACCGTACAACTAAGAACCAGAGTTAGCAATCTACAATCCTTAGATTTGACGTGGACCGGCGATGATAAGTTAGAGTTTTCGTTGGGAGACAAGGGTGAAGTTGAAGGAGAGTCAGAAGATAAATTTAGATCGATCCGATTATGAGGCCCGTTGATCATTTCAACCTCCAATTTCCCTTTTAATTTCTTGTACGAAACCCTGATCGACACTGAGTCACTCATTCCGGCCATGCCCCCTTTTGACTCGGTTGCCGGTTATCGTCAACGAGTTAACTCAATTAAAACTTCACATTAAAACTCTTAAATATAAAATGAAAATGAAAATCTTCTCTTTTTTGTGTTTTGACTTTTTCTGGTGCTTCGACTAGTGATTGAGACGTTTCGGTTGTGAGAACAAAAGTTGACGATCATGGAAAAATCCGTTAAAGAAGGAGTTGAATCGGTGGCGTTGTTTAAGGTGGGAAAAAGAATGGGTCCATCACGACCGTTTGTTTAAGGGAACAGGAAACGGCCACCGACAAGGGAATGCCGTAGTCACATCCACGGAGCAGAGACTTTGTACAAAAATAACGAAAGATTGACGGACACGTGGAAAAAGAACTCTGGCTCACGAATGCTTTTTCTTGTAGCTTGAGTAAGAACTTGGAATATTCCCTCGTCCTAATTCTGAAGGATCTGCTGTCATGTACCAATGCTCGCGTCAGGCAACTGAAAAATTGACGGAAAATTCAAGGAGAATGCAAGAATCGGTTCACGACTAATCACGCGCAAAAAAAAAAATTTTGATTGATTTTTGACATAATTAAGGGAAAATATGAAGCTGATTGGATGAGAGATGGAGATTTTGACTTTGACAGAAGAGCGTGAAACGGGAATAACACCTGGACAGAGGAAACCAAGTGGACCGGGTTTACTGGACTGGACTAGAGATAGAAGAAACCGGTTTTTTTATTAGTCTAATGCCTTTCAGTTAACCAGAAGCAGCCCACATTGTTTTTGGGCTTTACTACAGCCTACATTATGGTTTTTGATTGCTTGATTTCTGCTATTATTTTTTATCCATTATTTTTTAATAAATTAACCATTTTACCTTTTTTTTTTACAAAGAAAAATAAAAGACTGACATTTTTAAACCCAAAAAAATTGCTTCTTTTACTTTTTTTTTTTTTTGAAGATTTTAATAAAAATCCCTAAAACAAAAAAGAATACAAACACAACTTGCTTAGTCTCACCAACTACTGTGTTTGGAGACAAAACTGATCCATCAATGTTGTTTGCTATCCAAATTGCGCAGAGGAAACCAGCCAAAATTAATTGTTTCGAATCGTACAGCTATAATGTTATCCCAAATCTTTACCTGTCTTCGTTCGTTTAGGTTAAACTGTTATTGTAAAATTTTAATTATACAAACGAAGTTAAAAGGTTAACATATATTTCATTTTTTAATTAAATAATTATTGTCTAAATATATCTTAAAAAATATGTGTTATCCTCTTAATTTTATTTGTGTAACTAAAATTTTACATTTATAATGTATCAAATAATAAGGCTTTATATTATAATTACATACATGAACTTAATTTAAATCTAATTAAATATACACATGATCATAGATGCAAAATTATATATATATATATTGATATGAATAGCATATCAAAGTCCTCAAAGTTTGGATATTTCAATAAGTATACTAAGAATATAAAGAGTCTCTAGAATGCATAAAAATAAATCCGAATAACCCTAAAAGCTTTAGTAAATAAAGCTAGTTTTATTTGCTAGCCCTCCACAATAAGACGCTAAAATCATAATTTTCTCAATTTTTATTAATTCATCTCGACCGCTCTAATCTAATTGGCTGCAATCAGCATAAAATGACTGCAAAAGCAACAAATTGACAGCTTCGCAATAGACTTAAACCAATATTTTGTTTTAATTTTTCATGACTTTAATTTGTTTAATTTTTTATAAAAAATTTATAATTTAAAAATAAAAAAATTGCAAATAATAAAATTTGATCTTATATATTAAATATTATTTTTTAAAAAATAATTATGTGAGCAAAATCGATATTGAGTATCAAGAATTTGGGGGTTCAAACCATCCAAATGAAACCCATCTCAAAAAATCGATAATGCTACAATCAAGATAGAATATTCTTTTTTTTTTTTTTTCAAAAGCAGAACACGTCTTTAATTTTAAAATGAATTATTTCGAGTTAACGCGAAATTTCGTGTCAACACGCGCACACCCAAACAGTGAAGATGGAATTGCTGTACGGTAAATCACGTGTCAGCGATTGTCATCAGCTTTCGAAGTTGACATTCTGGCTCCACTCCCTAAATCTAAATCCCTCTCTCTTTTTTCTTTAGTCTTAATCAAGTTCATTAACAGAAAGCTGATTGAAGTACATAAGAAAACAGTCATGGCTAGCATGCTTCTTCTATACTTTGAAAATTTTGCCATATTCATGAGAAGCGTCACCATCAATAAACCAAGATAATCTTAAAATATATATAGTATTTTTGTTTTATGATATTGGAGTAGTGACCCTTGTTTCAACATTCTACTAGTGATGGTCACCAAAACCTAGATATGGAAAGCTGGTAAGTAATACTTAATATAGTGAAACAAAGGGTGAGAAACTGAGAATGAGAAAGGCTGATTATTGCATAAGTAAACTCCTGATAATGGCTGCTTGGTCGCTATCGGTGTCCATCGAAGCTAATAGCTGGGATACCCGGTCGCTTAGGTCGTCCACCTCTCTGTGTAAGCTTCTGATGTAGTTGCAAGTCTCCTGTAAGACCTTGGAAGCTGATACCTGAAGAGAAATTAGATTAATTAAACAACATGACTTTTTAAGAATAATTATGGGATTTTTTAATGCTTTTTAAAGAACATCAAATTAAATTGTTTTGGTGATGCATTTGAGTGTGACGGCTAAACATGATGCATGCTAAAAGGGAACAGATTGAGTCCCACACCTTCAACTTGATGCTAGATGCACCACATGAAAATAAATGAGGCTGTGAATATGACTTATCTACAAAAGCGAACGAAGTCCACACAAAAGAAAAGAAGAATTTTTTTTTTTTTAATTTCCAGTAGAGAGAGAGAGAGAGAGAGAGGGTGGGAAGTTTGGAGGAAGGAGAGAAATGTAAAAAGACCACTGCTTGGTACCTTGTCTGAGCGCCTTCCGCGAAGCTCAGGGATAAGCTGTTGCAACTTAGAAACAAGGTCGGTGATCTGATCATCTGTGATCCTGGAAACACCTGACTGCCTGGAACTTGATCTTCTGCTTGACATTGTGCTAAAAAAACTACTAGCTAGTAGTAGTATACTTGTCAGAAAACAAATGAAGGCTTAAGGATAAAGAGAGAGAGAGAGAGAGGGTGGGAAAACAAAGTGATGGTTTGTGTCAGAGAAAAGAAAAACCTAAGAAAAATGGGGATTGGGAGGAACAAGTGTTAAAAGACACAAGTTAGGGACAGAGCTAGAAAGATAAGGTAACCAAGAGAAGAGCAAGAAATCAAGGTAGAGAATGATGAAGTGATGCTTGGGAGTGAACAAGAGACACTTGCATGGAAGAAACCAGTGGCATATTCTGCTTATTAAATAGGGTTCTGATTCTAAGCGGATTTTTCCCCATTTTTTCCTTATTTTAATTATTGCTTGTGCGAGAACGCGCGTGCCTGTGCATGAAGAAAAGAAAAAGAAAAGAGAGAATGAAAAAAAGACCAAAGGGAGAGAGATATGCCATACTGTCCTTCCCTGGGTGTCCACAAACAGGGATTAGCAGGCAAGTGGGTTAAGGGTAAATGTGCTCGATAATCACCCAACTACGCGGGCCTCCCTTCTGTCAGTTTAGCACGCAAGCCCACGTTATCTTATTACTTCCTGTCATTGAATTATATACCTATAAATATCACTATATATATATATATATATGATGCATTATTATAAATTTTATATATTATCAATAAATAAAATAATATTATTTTATTAATAAATTAAATTAAATGATATTAATTTATTAACGAATAAATTTTATAAAAAATATTAATTTTATATATTTATTTTAAAAATTAATATTTATTTATTAATAAAATAATATCAATTGATAATATATAAAATTTATATATTAATCATATATTAAATATAAACTCTATATATATATTCAGTGTTCGTACAGAAACAAAAACCCAACGCTCTCTCCCCGTTCCCCTTCTTTATTTTATCTGATCTGTTCATTACGACAAGCATAGCCAGAGGGAGAGAAAGGTATAACTATAGCTATAGCTATGGAATAGAATGAGTACTTGAATCAGTCTTCATAGTTCGGATCTGAAAGTCGCAAACATGAGCAAATTGGGAGGTAGGAAGGGCGACATTGTTGACCAGTCAGATTTTATCACATCTCCGCATCCCCGTAATCTCTTCCATAATTTTGGTCACGACATGGCACGTGTTGTCTCGTATCCTCTGCTTTACGCACTTAACCCGATTCCTTGACAACATTTTTTGTATTTCAATATCATTTTTTAATATTATATTTATAAAAAATATATATTTATTGGGCATGAAGCAAGATTGGGAGCGGTTAGAACACAACTTTTTTGGCATACAGAATCTCCCTTCAAAGTTTCCTAGCTTTTGCTTATTTAGGGCATGGTCATTGCCTCACTTAGATTTAATATATAGTATATGTTGATAGTGTATTTTAGTAGTAAAAAAGAGGGTTTTTCATATCCACACGTGATATCATATGTTGCACCTTTTTCCGGCTAGATTCCTGCATGTAGAAGTTAGATTTGTGGACAGAGTCGTCGGCACCCTGCATGATCATGTGCCATGAAACATGATGATCTCCTAGCAACGACAAGCAACTTAATTGCATCTAAATTCTAATGGTTTAGGAACTATCAAAGCTTGATTACCAGCATAATCTCGAGAGTTAACAACAATGATAATCACCAATTATCGTACCTTCCTCAAGGGGAGCGGGGGATTAATATAGTCAATTGTTTTGGAAACGATATCACATGATCTCCCATGTGACCTCTAAACTTCACGCATGTTACAACACAGTGACGGTCTCAAGGAAAAGCTATAGCTACGTACACGACACAATTACATATTTGCAAACTGTTTCTGTAAGCGAATATCAAAAAGATCACTGATCACTTACTTGGTTTACTCAATCATTGCAAGAAGGTGGTCCTTCCCATTTAGCTGTAATCGTTCTTTTTTTTTTTGCTGGTTGGGGTGTAGTTGTAGTTCGCCATGTGAATTCATTTAAAAATCCAACACTCTCTAAAAGTCTTAATTAAATACGAGAAAGATTTCTACGAAAATTTTTAAGTTTATGATTTTTTTTATTAAAAAAGATTAAATAGAAATTAAAATCGAAAAATAAAACTAATGAATTGAAAGAATTCAATGAAAAGATCAATAATATGTAAAAATTATATATATTAAATTTATCATTTGTAATTCAAATTTTGGTGAGTATTTATTTAATAGTAAAAATAATGTTAAAATTTTTATTGAAAATAATTATCTAAAAAATATATATTAAATTTTACTTTTAAAAAATTACACGCTTAATCTATATAATAGATATTTTTATTATCGGTTTTGACTTTTGATTTTAATTTTTATTGAATCATTTTTAATAAAAACTTTCATTTAAGGAACTTCACCTTGAATACTATTGAGCAAACATAATCGGCCTACAACTAGGCAACCATTGAGGAATTAGGAATGACACTCCGCAAACCAAATCTTCTTGCTCAAATAGTTTAAGGACTGCTTGTTGTATTGAATTCCAATACATTGTTACCAAATTTGATTAGGTACGTAGCGAAAGCGATCGATCACCTGGCCCCAAAAATTAATTCCCATCATTAATTAATGGCAAGGCTTCTTGAGAAATATGGTTTCAGCTCATTAAATATAACTACTAAACATGCAATCCATACGTTAAAGAACAAAATCAACATCTTTCTTGTATAATACATTAATTGAGGAAATTGCAAGGAAGGAGATGTTTCTTCACATGCATGTTTTTAATGTTAATTTTAAGTCAAGTCATGCATGGAAGACTTTATTTATTGGTTGATTGATTGATTTATTTATTTATTTATTGCAAACTGACATTAAAAAAAAATTGTATTAAAGAAAAACCCACAATTTCGATGTGCCACATGACCTCAGATTTTTCACTTTAAGTCTGTCATATCAACATTTTATAAATTAGGTAATTTGGTGAGTAGGAATTGTTGAAAATACAAGTACAATATTCTCTTCTGCCAGTTAACAATGAATTATATTTTTAGTTTATTAGATTCTTGAGAGATCTTTCAAGTGATAATAGTAAACTATCATCAGGGTTGGAACGTGATTCCTCATCGAGATCTCCAAGAGTAGTTAATTGGCTCTCAGACTCCATGATTGTACGTGTAAGCATGGCATCAGTGAGAAGGAGAGAGCTGTAAACTGTACGACCCATCTTCCATGGTTATAATTACAATATCTTTAAATATATATAAATATTCAACTTAATACCTGTGATGATCAGTCCAATTGCCCATGTTACACAATCTTTTGAACCTTGTTGGATGACCATTGACCAAAACATATGCTCCATGGAAAAACAAAGCGCCTGCAGAAAGAAAAAATCGAACTTCATATATACATGATAATTAATTTTCTCATGACCAAATTAATTTTTTTTCATTTGAGTCAAGTCCTTGCATGGTCATAAGAGGCATTCGACCATTGAATTACTGGCCTTGGCCAACCTTACTATGTTTGGCATCAAGGACTTTGGAGAAGTACAAAAAAAATCACTTTCACATGCATTTTCTTTGCTTTCCTACCAAATATAAACTATTTAACCTTAATTTTTATTAAAAAAAAATCGAACCCAATTCTCTTTTAGTAGGGTTTACACCTTTTTCAGGTCCGGCGATTTTCCTGGAAATTACCGATATGTTGAAAATTTGAAATTAATGTAGATAGTTATACATAATATGATTAAGCAAAAGATGTACAACATTCATGTACTCAAGGGACCTGGAATTTGAACAGCAGTGTTAAGCAAGAGCTGATGAATGAGCTGTTTCTCACAATCTCGTAGCTCTAGCAATCTTAAACTGGTTGCCAGAACAAAGCGAAATTAAGTTTCAGATGATTATTACAAAGTAATTAAATTTGATATTCGATTCATGGAATGAGAGTAATAATAATGGCAGAGCCTGCATGTGACAATTTTATATAGGATGGCCAACGTTGTCGATTAGAAGCATGGCAAGCCACGAGACTGGCCATTTGCAGACCAATGGCTGACCAATTGATGTAGTTCAACCCCCAGACAACGCAGCCTCAGTTTGTTACATGTTTATTTCCTGGTCCTTATGCAATGTTGCCAATCACCACAAAATTTGCCCCTCTAGCACAAAATTTGCCTATAGAGAAAAGGCTTACATCAATAATATAACGTGGACTAAAAAGTTTTAGATTATGATATAATATATATATAATATTATCCTTGGAATTTTGTTATTTTTAAGGTATACTATGATATAAATAATTGAAAATGTGAGAGTGGTATAATGAAATTAATATATATATATATCTACATTTTAAAGCAATGTTTTTAATAGTGAGATCAATGTATTTTTAGCTTTGTTTTAATTTAATTTTTTTGTAAGACCATCTTTGAGATATATTCTCTTTCATCAATTTAATACATTTAATATTTTATTTTCGAAATACTTGTCGTAAAGTACTGATGACAAATTCGAAATAATGAAGTTAAGAAAAAATAAAACAGAGAAAAATATTGTTGTATTTTGTTTTTTTTTTTTTTCCATGGCATTGCAACTTTGACCAGTAACATTACAATAGCCCATGATGTATTTGGACCGATATGGATAACCAGACATTAAAATGTGAATGTTTCTGCTCCATATTCATGTGACTGTTCCTATGTTGTCTCATAATTAATAGTCAATCCCCTTAAAATTGACCCAAGCCGAAGAAGGAAGAAGCAAAGCCTAAATCACCATGATGAAACTAAGCTTTGTGGTCCAAATTGATCTGCCGAAATCAAACCTCGTGCCACTGTCTTTGCAATTCAACCATGTGGGACATTTCCCTCTGCCTTGTTTGAGGCATCAATCTTGAATCCTTTAAGTACCGATGCATCCTAAGACAGCGGCAACCTTTGAAGTCGTCGACACTGCTTTCAGATGGGACTTAACTCACCCTTTCAAGTTTCAACTCTGGAATGATGATATTATGGTGGGAAAATTATCCCCATGTTTTCGGACCATGTGATTTTATTTGCCTCTTGCACCCTCAGTTGTTTTTTATATGACAAGACAGTAACCTGAAGCCTGTTCATGTTTAATTGGTGACCTTTGTTTTATACGAAACACCATCTGCTTTGGATTTTATAGCATTTTTGCTTTAGCAAAGTTCATCAGCTGATAACAATGTTGAAATGAAACCTAAAAAAAAAAAAAGATCAAAAATGAAAATTGAAAGAGAAACCCAATGAATTA